TGCGTTGCTTTTTGAACTTCAAGATGTTGTCGATGTTGTAAACAGCAGGAAATGGATATTTGCGGGTTCGACTTTTGCCTACCATCTTTCAAAAGTCACCAGAATGTTGTTCATAGTCTTTTTAAGAAAATTCATTGTCGAGACTAAGTGTGTGCCCAAAGAAGCAAGCAAGTAAGTGCCCAAAAACTGAACCTAAAAGTAAAAATCCTATAAAATTCACAAAGTGATACGTGTAATGTGAGAAGCATAATATTCAACTTGGATGCTGTTCATGTTGTCTCAAGACCCGGGAGGGCACTCAACCAATTTTTATACGGGGAGGCTCTGGCCTGGGGTCCAACCCCTTACTTTTTTATACAACTTTTCACGAAAAAGGTACCCCTTTAACATACCTCGTTTTGCATCCCTTTTAACTGCTAGGGGTGATGAATAGTCCATTAAAATTTTTAAGTGCTCGCAAAATTTTACCATTACTCGATTTGCTCGCAAAATTTAAACGAGTGCTCGCTTCCTCGTGCTCCTAAAATTTTTGCAGTTGCTCGCATGCTCGCTTTCCTGTCAGTATTGCTCGAAATTTTGTAAATCCTTCTTTGGGTTAAAGTAAATGTAATTCTGTATGGTGCTTAATTCCTCATATGGCTATCAAGTTCAGTGGAAATGCACGCGATAAATGACAACGATAAATAATAAATTAGCTAATCTAGCTATATATGGTTAAAAAGAGAAGATATTGTTACCTTGAGTTCTTTGGAGTTTCTCTACCTCTCTATACTCGCTGGGCTTTAATTAGGCCGTGTTTTCAATAAAAACGGTTTGGAAGCTTTAGGATTCTTCCAGAAGAGGTTGTTCTGACACAAGGATCTTGTTCCTCGTCAAGTTCTTCTTCAACCACATCAGTCACGTCCCTTTCTTCAACCCCCCTTACGTTACGCTTTCTACAGATCTATAGTATGTTGGCGTATTGTTAAATGAAAGGCACATAGAGCCCCCTCAAAAGTATCATTAATAACGCCTGTTAGCTCCTGTTGTGCAGGCTATTCAGAAGAAGCTTCATAACTGATGAATATTCTTTATAACTTGTTCTTTCCATTTGCGAGCAGAAAATGTCTATAAGATGAGTTAAGATGCATTTTAAACCTGATAACGTAGGGCCATGTATTTTTCAAATCACTTGCAAAAGCTAGATAGCATCTACCGTATTTATTCGAATAAGCGCCCAGCCTCGAATTAGCGCCCACCTCGAATAGGCGACCACCTCGAATAAGCACCCATCCCAAAGGCAGAAAAAGTTAATAAGCGCCCAGCCTCGAATAAGCGCCCACGCCGCAACCCCTCCTCCTCCTAACCAAACTCAAATAAGCGCCCACCCACTTGAGTGACAATGAGATTGAAATTGAAATTGAATAAGTACTAATAAGAGACTTCCCCGAGAACGGAGTTTTCTTCAGAGTATTTTACAGAACCTTGCTTTGTTACTTCTTCGCGTTTTGTTATTAGCATTTATTGTTTTGTGGCAAAATAAACATACCACACTTGCTGAAAATGGTGTAAATTTAATAAGCGCCCACCTCGAATGAGCGCCCACTCCCAAGGTCCAAAAACTTAATAAGCGCCCAGGGCGGTTAATCGAATAAATACAGTATTTCATTTATGGCCTCCACAGACTAGAAATTAAGTTGTCGACAACTTTTTGTTTTTGACAACTAAACGCACTATGAATGTGTTGCGTGACAACACATATTGATGGTCTTCACAGTGACGTCATCAAATTGTAAAGTCAAAATAGCGAGGTTTTACGAATTCTTATTTACACTAGATTGAAGACAAACAAAAAATAAATCTTTGTACAAGTTTCCATTTCCGTGGTATGTTTCATTTCGAAAATAGAGCAATTTGAACTTCCGAGATTTCACAGTGCGTGACACTAAAATAGGAATGCTGTCTCGTTGAAAAAAAGTCTCTGCTCTTGAATTTCAGCAGTATAACCATTTCAAGTATTAGAAGATATGTTTATGCGTACGTATACTAGTTCTCGAGTGAAAAGAAAGGGCTTTTATAGAAAAAGCGAGCTCCAGATGTTTTTGTTGATTTCTGGCGGCCATATTGGTGCACCAAAATGGTGCACCAACATGGTGTCTCCATACAAAGCTCTGCAAAGGTGCGTGAAACGTTTCGGCAAATAACTCAGAAACTTTGGGCCACAAAGACCTGAGACTTGGACAAATTGTTTATATATTAGTCTTTTATAACACTTCATTTTGTTGGCTTCTTCCACTGGACGGTTTCCAATTTATTTTTTTGTTGCGTGACAGTGAAAACGATCTATAACGGCTGTGTAGCAGACTACGGTCAGGGACTTCCAGGGATAGATAACCAACTAAGTAATTTGGGAAATTCCTCACTTTCTGTAGGATTTGCGAAACTAGCATCCTCAGAAATTCCAATCACACTTCAGGCATTATTTGTTTACAAGCAGTCTTAATTTGCCTGGTAGGTCTGTGGACAATGTTTCAAGAGCAACGTGCAACGGTGAGGCTGTGGCAACACGGAAAAGATTATTCTCAAGCAGGCCAAATATAATGCCAAAACCTAGAAGTTTGTCATTTTTATCAATCTCAAAAAGCAGTGATCCCGAATCTCCTGACGCTGTAAAATATGTCTCTCTCTTTGACTCGCCTATACGATCGATCATTAAGCAGTTCTTCATCCAGAGCGAATCAATAAGAACTTGGGTGTCTACGCTACAGGAATCACAATTATCAGACGGCTGCAGGCGTCCTTCAACACGTGACCTTCTCACACAATTACCACAGAGTGCAACTTTTTTCAACGCGTTGACCAATTGGTTATCTTGAGCACTAACCTCATACATGGGAGATTTAAAAAATACTTCTGAGGGATTTTCGTGGCGGCCGTCGCACGTGAAACCAGTGGTTCGCCCACTCTTACATAGCTCTCCTTGGGCTTTAAAACCTTGACTACATTCACCGCTCGATATATATCTTGTTCCAATCACTGGTGGGCTCTGATATTTCTTCAACTCTCTTACTTCATCTTCAGTCAACTCAGCAATAGCAGCATCGATAAAATACTGTTTGCCATCGATCCAATCCACATTTTTGGAGACACCAGCAACTTTCCTTCCAATTACTCTGGGTTTCCTCGAAAAACCGTCCTCCAAAGTTTTTTCAAGGGCCTCTCTATCCGTTTTAGTTTCGGTCTTTCTGTTTGGGTCAAAATGTTCTTCTTTAATTGATTTCAATTTTTGAAATTTCTCTGACAATTGTGACTCTGTTTCAAGGACGTTGAATTTTAACGTGGTTTCTAGGGTATCAAGACTTTCGCTTTTGATGATGTTCCTGACAGCAATTCTATATTGCTCTAAGTGATAATATAGATAGTTGAAATAGTCACTCAGTCCAGGGTGAAATATCTCTGTTCCAGGCGGGCCTTTCATCACATGGTTACAAGACAGGGCATAAAACTTTCCATGGGTTTCCACAATGGCACCCAAAGATCCAGATGCTTCTTTATTTATTTCTTCGAATTCTTTTACGCCAATGCTTGCTCCTAAGCGAAGGACATTGCCCTGCTTCTGAGCCTCATTGGGGGTCCAGGGTTTCTTAGGTGGGCTCATTCTGAGCCAAAATCCATCCACAACATCAACAGGGTAAGCACCAAGTCTGAGTGGCAAAGGAAACTCTCCGTCAGGGATGAAGCCTTTGCGAAGAACATAAATTGTAATACAAGGCTGCGTCGTCTGCTTAGACTTTGTGATTTTCAACGAAGCTTGAACAGCGGTGATGTTGCGATGTCTGACAAGAACATGAAGATTTTTCCTTATTGTTTCATTGATGTCATCAACTTGAGATTCATTCAATCTTTTCGGCTTCCCAGACGAGCACTCGACAGGAGCAACATTTAATATTTTGGTAGCGTCATTGATCAGATCAAACCATTGCAGTTCCACTTCTATCCCTCTGAAGCATTCCTGAGCGGCAGCTCTTAATTTTTGTGGTACACCAGAGTTACCACTATAAAATTGGCTTGATACATAAAAGTAAACCTTCGAATGACCACCGTCCGAATATGGTAATACACGCACACATTCTCTATGCTTAGCTTCAAATTCAATAGTTTTTGTTACAACTTCCTTCAGCTGACGTTCAATACCTACGGTTGGCAGCGAGATGCCAGTTGGAAATCTGGTGGTGCCTTCAGTGAAATCTTCCTGAGAAGTGACTGCGCCTGTTCTCAACTCTGAAATTAACAAGCAGATAGAATAAAACAAGCAGATTGAAAAAAAGAAAGGAATCAGGCAAATTTAAAATGGCAGTCATTATAAGTAATTCCCGGCAACAAAGGGCCATCGGAGGCCAACATATAACAACGACTTTATTACCATGAGGGACGAAAGGCGTGTTAACTTTAGTAAAATTGAAATCTGTAGAGTAGAAAGAGCTTTGTGTGTTTCTCCTGCTGCAGAAACTATTGTTGGTTACCTATTAAGCTGTGCTGTGGCTATTGTTCAGGTTCTTTTCAACCTTTCTTTTTACGTTATTTGGTGATCGCACTACTCCTCAACACCAAAAAACTGCCGAAAATTTAAATAAGTGCTTAAATAGCCTTTGTTTACCTTAGCTAACGTTAACATAAACAGGGCTATTTACTCACATCTTCCAAAGCACACTTGCAATTCCTACTCTCAGTTCAATTTATATCAGTGCAGATTTTAAATACTAATATCTGTGGAGTGAACTGACTCAATTTCTTGATCAGCGTGGATAGATTTTTTCTTCTTCACAGTATTGATTTCTTTCATAAGACTGTTTAAGGGCTTTCAACGGAGTCATCCCCATTGGTTTCAGTACTACGTAAAAAACGAAAAAAAAACAGCTTTACAGCTTTAAACCCAAAACTTCCTCTTTTACGTGTAGACTTTTTTTCTTCATGGTCAGTTGAAGTCCCTTTTTGAAACGTTCTCTAGCTCAAGTGTACCCTGAGAGGCGGGGGGGGTGTAGTGGAGTGACGGACATGGCTCCACCCTAGGAGGAGCCAAGTTTTTTGCAACGTAATTCATTGTAAGACCTATTTTATACAAATCGGTCGTTGTTATCTTTAGACAACAAATTAAAACGTTTGATCCCAATAATTTTACTCTGTCTCCAATGTTCTATTTCCAAAATGCGTGGCCCATAGAAAGAAAAGCTGTGTATACTTTAGTACTTTTCCACTATATATTTATTCATTTCCTTGATCGGATCGGATCACAACTTACGTATTTTTTAAAACTACTTATTTAACTTAAGTAAACCTTCAAGCGGTTCCAGGCGATAAGAAGTTTTGGTACAGGCGGTAAATTTTACCGGTTACCACCTGATAAGGCGAACACTGAATACCTTTATACAATCTATGTCGAAGCAGTACAACTCTTGCACGTAGCTTTATTGAAAGTTTTTACGGCGGCCATTTATAATTTTATTGTATATACTGCAAATATTTACATATGAGTTATGATTTAGTGGTTATTATATTATCATATTTATAGTTATCATTGTTATTACTAGTTATTATACTATCTTTGTATATTCATGCAATTCAGCCTTGGGAGGCTGCAAAGCGAGTATTCTTCAAAACTATCTATCTATCTATCTGAATAACAGCTGTCACTCATATAAGTATTGTTAGTCTCAAAAGCAGTGGATATTTGCATAACTCGTAAGAACGGCTGATTACGCAGAGACTACTCAACTTGCAGACTAGCCTGTGTACAGACGTCCCTCGATTTTTTTCTGAGGGAGGGGGGACGTCTGTACACAGGCTACTTGCAGACCTTCTTCTCCCAGCCTCTTCTATTATCTTGTGACTTAAACGATTTTGTTACAGATTACAGATTGTTACTCACCAGTTGAGGTCAGTGACAGCGGGTCCGCTAAGGATCGAGCCAAACGATCTACCTCTTGTTGTTCTTTGTTTACAGCCACAACAGACACTTCTACAATTTCGTAAAAGAGTTACATTGAGAAAGGCTAATGTTTGTTGCCAAAAACCGAAGAAAGAGAGACGAAAAATTATACCCTTTACAAACCAGCCAAATTCCAGAAAAAGTGGGGTAGAAGTTTTTCAAACTGAGGCGGTCACACTCTTTCACACCCAAGATACAGATTGCCACGTTGACATCCAAGCTCTGACTTACTAACTGCATCTTTTAAACGAGTTACACGGCAAAAAAGACTAAATATGTTGTCTATATTAGCCAGATTTTAAACCATTCAAGAACAGCGGACGTAAAAACGTTTATATAAAAAAATTCTCAACAAAGTGAACTTTTAAGCGATGGTTTTTGAAAAAAAATGGAAATGTGACTGCCAAGCCGTCGTCATTCAAACGCAAGTTTTTGCGTGAATTATAGTTTATCAGTTTTCTAACGTTTTTGAAAAAAGAAATAGCAAAAGGGATGCTTCGGGCACCCCAGAATAACCATCACCCCTACACCCCTGGCACAGGGCAAAAAATAGATAACTACAAGCGCTTTAAGCTACAAGCAAACTGTCATTCTTCTCAAGTCTTACAAACTTTTGAAAAGATTTTTTTTCTTGATTTACACTCGCAGTCTGAATGTACGTCAACAATGATTATAAATATACATTATTGTGCTAATTTCAACCCCACTCTTTTAAACATACCTTGCACGTCTTTTGGGTCTAAGCTGACAAAGTGAAGTTGGCTGATTAGGCCTAGAAGGAGTTCTGGTTGTCCTTCCTGCCCAAACGGACGTTCGTATTGATCAGAGTTAGAACTAGTTACCACTCTAATTCTTTTCTGCAGTGCACGGGCCAGCGCCTCAATAACAATGGAGTCTCCCCATTCTTTGTCCTTCCCCATTCTTTTTAGATATACGTCAAGGTTTTCTGTGAGACACTTGCGAAGTTCATTCTCCGTGAACTGAAATGCGAACAGTCAGTTAGTTTGGTTAGTAAAAACAGAACTTTCTTTCCCTCTCCTTGCTTGGAAAGACACTGAATCGAATGACGCTCAATGGTCGATAAATGGCTCAGTCAGCCTTCCTTAAGGTGGACAAAGAGGCCAATCCCAAAGGTTTCAAATTAACTCAAATCATTATACATCAAAACCTAGAGCCATACCAACAAGATATATATAGACGTATATCTTTATAACGCTTTAGTTTTTTACAACAACCGAACTTTGGATCTGATACTAGTTGCTGATACCTAAAAATATCATCACTTGTTCAACAAGGTTAACCATACGGGAAAATCTGACTTAATTACAGTCGAACCTCCACTAACGGCCACCTCTGTACAACGGCACTTTTTTTGTCCGACAGTCCATACATTGTCTCTTGTTTAAACCTCTCTACAACGGCCACTAAAGCCCGTCCCCAACTGCCACAGCCTCTCGACAACGGCCAGTTTTTTTCAGCGACTGATGGCTGATGAAAAAGTCAAGAATGGTCATGAAATTTGATTCGATGGCCCGTTGATGATTCATCGTGGCATTCGTATTTTGATTGTGTTCCATTTATACTGCTGCAGTAAGCATAATGGTCTACGATACTTATATAAATAGCGAATGTTGTGAACCTTGCTCGTTTTGTCTCGTTAACATTTTGATTCAAAATATTGTTTAAGTTTTTTCGTGTATTTTATCTCTCTATATATTACATATGTAATTGGATTATAGTTATGGGACACAATAAGCACGAATTTAGCAAAATAAACATGCAACCTCGTTCCCAGGGTTCTCTCCTACCCGCCCGACGGGGAACGAGGTTGAATAAACATGTTGTACTGCCTCACAAAATTGTCATATTACACCCCTGCCTCCCCATAACTCCCACCTCTCCACAACGGCCACTTTCTTCTCCCCCTGAGGTGGTCGTTCTGGAGAGGTTTGACTGTACTATCAACTTACCTCATTTCTCAATGTTTCAACAGCAAGTTTTCGTAAACTGGAATGGTCATGCCCTGTATCTCCTAGCCGTGTGAGTTGATCAGCGACAGCGTGGAACAAGTAGTTACCGTCCCCTCGGAATTCGCCTCTCATTTTAAGACCATAACGTTTTATATTTTCATCTAGCTGACGCTTGTGTTCCTCCAATGATTTATTTTCCCCTTTGGATGGTCCAAGAAACTTGGTTAGTTCAGACAGATTATCTTAAATACAAAACATCAATATGTTTCCGTCAGCTACATGTTTTACAATGACGCGTTTAACTAAGGAGTTTCAAGTCACTTGCAGGAAACAAGTCGTTTCAAAAGCATGATATCTGAAATACAAGTCACTTGAACCTCCCATGATAAAAGACCAATCCAAATTGTCGCTTACGAGAGTTGGTCCGAATTTTCACAACTAATCAAGCAAGCTGTTCCCGAAATACACTTTGTCTTTTTGACTTTTTCAACTTTGTCTTTTTGACTTGAATTTATCGATAAAACCGGTGAAAACGTTTTTTGTTTACAAATGCAAATTAAGCTTAAGCCTTGCATTACTTTATTTAGTTGACTTGTTCATAAAAAAACTTAAAACTAAATTTAATCGTCTTTATTACAGAATGATTTTAAATACCCAAAGAATTCACAACTCCATTTGAAGAAATTTCCCCGCAAGAGCTAAACAAATCCGTTCAAAAGTTTTATTTGTCGGCAAGAAAAGGGGACGAGCGCGGCCGCTCGGTCATTGTGCGCCAAATTTGTAATCGTTGGCAACAGTAAATGAGTTAAAAATCAACATTTTTGTGCTCAATTATCTCACCGTTTTAGTATATACTAAAACAATTATTCACCTCAGTGTCGGTGGCTAGTGGAGGGAATTTAAATCGCCGCTAACGCGGCCTCGGTAAATACCCACACCACTAGCCACCTTCACTTCGGTGAATAACTGTTATATGAGTTATGAGTTAGCGGTTATTATATGATCATATTTATAGTTATAATTGTTATTGCTTAACATTTAATGAATGAGGCTGAGTATCTTATGAAGAATTATGGAGATCGAGGAGGGTGTTATCCGCCTCGGCCTACGGCCTCGACGGATAACACCCTCCTCGATCTCCATAATTCTTCATATGATACGAAAGCCGAATTCAATAATTGTTTTATTATTCATTCAAAATAATTCCTAGTTTAAAAACATGGCTAAAACATGCTTACCTCCATCGATCCATCAATGTTAAGTTCATCTTCGATAGTGCACGTTTAGGTTTGTCCAGCTCCGCAAATATTCTCCAAATAGCAGATGTCGCCCTTCGAGTTGTCTTCTTGCTGTTCTTGCCATGTTTTTAGCTATTTTTTCCCCTAGTTCTTACTCTTGAAACGAGTGAAATGAACCCCATTTTTGTTTCCATAACCAAAACAACTCAACCTCGTCCCCAGATCTTCTCGGTTAACGCTGCCTTAACATGCACGAACGCTGCATTTTTGACGTCATTTCCTCGTTAAACACAAAATTCTTCCAAATTTGGTCATCAGTAACTGGTTATGGTAAATTAAACGTGTGCTTTTAGCCAATCAGAATCGGGAAAATATTTTGAATGAATAATAATAGTTGTTATACTATCTTTGTATGTTCATGCGATTCAGCCTTGGAAGTGAGTAATTATTAAAACTATCTATCTATCTACATGAATAGCAGCTGTCACTAATAATTGTTAGTCTCCCACGCAGTGGAAATTTGCATAACTGGTAAGAACGGCTCATAACGCAAAGACTACCCAGCTTGCAGACCTTCTTCTACTAGCCTCTTCTATTATCTTGTGACTTAAACGAGTATTTTTTTTACAGCTTACAAGTTGTTACTCACCAGTTGAGGTCCTTGACAGCTGGTCCGCTAAGCATCGAGCACACAAACAATCCACCTCTTGTTGTTCCTTGTTCACTGCCACTTCAGACACTTCCGCTACAATTTCTTAAAAGAGTTACATTGAGAAAGGCTGACTTTAGTAAAATTGAAATCTGTAGAGTAGAAAGAGCATTGTGTGTTTCTCCTGCTGCAGAAACTATTGTTGGTTACCTATTAAGCTGTAATGTAGCTATTGTCCAGGTTCTTTTCAACCTTTCTTTTTACGTCATTGGGTGATCGCACTCGTCCTCAACACCAAAAAACTGCCGAGAATTTAAATAAGTGCTTAATGTAAATAAGTGCTTAAATAGCCCCTCTTTAACTTAGCTAACGTTAACATAAACAAGGGCTATTTACTCACATCTTCCAAAGCATACTTGCAATTCCTACTCTCAGTTCAATTTATATCAGTGCAGATTTTAAATACTAATATCTGTGGAGTGAATTGACTCAATGTCCTGATCAGCGTGGATAGATTTTTGCTTCTTCACAGTATTGATTTCATTCATAAGGCTGTTAAAGGGCTTTCAACGGAGTCATCCCCACTGGTTTCAGTACTACGTAAAAAACGAAAAAAAAAACAGCTTTACAGCTTTAAACCCAAAACTTCCTCTTTTACGTGTAGACTTGTTTTCTTCATGGTCAGTTGAAGTCCCTTTTTGAAACGTTCTCTAGCTCAAAAGCACCCTGAGAGGGGGGGAAGTGGGAAGTGGGTGTAGTGGAGTGAGGGACATGGCACATGGCTCCACCCTAGGAGGAGCCAAGTTTTTTTGCAACGTAATTCATTGTAAGACCTATTTTACACAAATCGGCCGTTGTTATCTTTAGACAACAATTTAAAACGTTTGATCCCAATAATTTTACTCTGTCTCCAGTGTTCTATTTCCAAAATGCGTGGCCCATAGAAAGAAAAGCCGTGTGACTTTAGAACTTTTCCACTATATATACATTCATTTCGTTGATCGGATCGGCTCAGATCACAACTTACGTATTTTTTAAAACTACTTATTTAACTTAAGTAAACCTTCAAGCGGTTCCAGGCAATAAGAAGTGTTTCTTCAGGAGGTAAATTTTACCGGTTACCACCTGATAAGGAGAACACTGAATACTTTTATCTAATGTATGTCTAAGCAGTAAAACTCTTGCAGGTAGCTTTATTGAAAGTTTTTACGGCGGCCATCTGTAATTTTATTGTATATACTGCAAATATTTACATATGAGTTATGAGTTGTGGTTATTATATTATCATATTTATATTTATAATTGTTATTACTAGTTATTATACTATCTTTGTATATTCATGCAATTCAGCCTTGGGAGGCTGCAAAGCGAGTATTTATCAAAACTATCTATCTATCTATCTATCTGAATAACAGCTGTCAGTTATATAAGTATTGTTAGTCTCAAACGCAGTGGATATTTGCATAACTCGTAAGAACGGCTGATTACGCAGAGACTACTCAACTTGCAGACTAGCCTGTGTACAGACGTCGCCCCGATTTTTTTCTGAGGGAGGGGGGACGTCTGTACACAGGCTACTTGTAGACCTTCTTCTCCTAGCCTCTTCTATTATCTTGCGACTTAAACGATTTTCTAACAGATCACAGACTCACCAGTTGAGGTCAGTGACAGCGGGTCCGCTAAGGATCGAGCCAAACGTACCTCTTGTTCTTTGTTTACAGCCACAACAGACACTTCTACAATTTCGTAAAAGAGTTACATTGAGAAAGGCTAATGTTTGTTGCCAAAAACCGAAGAAAGAGAGACGAAAAATTATACCCTTTACAAACCAGCCAAATTCCAGAAAAGTTGGGGTAGAAGTTTTTCAAACTGAGACGGTCAAACTCTTTCACACCCAAGATACAGATTGTCACGTTGACATCCAGGCTGTGACTTACTAACTGCATCTTTTAAACGAGGTACACGGCAAGAAAGACTAAATATGTTGACTATATTAGCCAGATTTTAAACCATTCAAGAACAGCGGACGTAAAAACGTTGATATAAAGAAATTCCCAACAAAGTGAACTTTTAAGCGATGGTTTTTGAAAAAAAAAAATAGAAAAGTGACTGCCAAGACGTCGTCATTAAAACGCAGTGAAGTTTGAAATTTTTGCATGAGTAATAGTTTATCAGTTTTCTAACTTTTTTGAAAAAAAAAATAGCGAAAGGGATGCTTCGGGCACCCCAGAATCACCATCCCGCCTACACCCCTGGCACAAGCTACAAGTAAACCGTCATTCTTCTGAAGTCTTACAAACTTTTGAAAATTTTTTTTTTTTCTTGATTTACACTCGCAGTCTGAATGTAAGCCAACAATGATTATAAATATACATTATTCTGTTAATTTCAACCCCACTCTTTTAAACATACCTTGCACGTCTTTTGGGTCTAAGCTGACAAAGTGAACTTGACTGATTAGGCCTAGAAGGAGTTCTGGTTGTCCTTCCTGCCCAAACGGACTTTCGTATTGATCAGAGTTAGAACTAGTTACCACTCTAATTCTTTTCTGCAGTGCACGGGCCAGCGCCTCAATAACAATAAAGTCTCCCCATTCTTTGTCCTTCCCCATTCTTTTTCGATATACGTCAACGTTTGCTGCGAGACACTTGAACTGAAATGCGAACAGTCAGTTAGTTTGGTTAGTAAAAACAGAAATTTCTTTCCCTCTCCTTGCTTGGAAAGACACGGAATCGAATGACGCTCAATGGTCGATAAACAGCTCAGTCAGCCTTCCTTAAGGTGGACAAAGAGGCTAATCCCAAAGGTTTCAAATTAACTCAAATCATCATACATCAAAACCTAGAGCCTTTCCAACAAGATATGTGGTCGTATATCTTTACAACGCTTTAGTTTTTTACAACAACCGAACTTTGGATCTGATACTAGTTGCTGATACCTAAAAATATCATCACTTGTTCAACAAGGTTAACCATACGAGAAAATCTGACTTAATTACAGTCGAACCTCCACTAACGGCCACCTCTCTACAACGGCACTTTTTTTGTCCGACAGTCCATACATTGGCTCTTGTTTAAACCTCTCTACAATGGTCACCTCTCTACAACGGCAACAGCTAGCCACTAAAGCGTGTCCCCAACTGCCACAGCCTCTCGACAACGGCTAGTTTTTTTCAGCGACTGATGACTGATGAAAAAGTCAAGAATGGTCATGAAATTTGATTCGATGGCCCGTTGATGATTCATCGTGGCATTCGTATTTTGATTGTGTTCCATTTATACTGCTGCAGTAAGCATAATGGTCTACGATACTTATATAAATAGCGAATGTTGTGAACCTTGCTCGTTTTGTCTCGTTAACATTTTGATTCAAAACATTGTTCAAGTTTTTTTCGTGTATTTTATCTCTCTATATATTACATATGTAATTGGATTATAGTAATGGGACACAATAAGCATAAATGTAGCGAAATAAACATGCAACCTCGTTCCCAGGGTTCTCTCCTACCCGCCCGACGGGGAACGAGGTTGAATAAACATGTTGTACTGCCTCAAAAAATTGTCATATTACACCCCTACCTCTCCATAACGGCCACCTCTCCACAACGGCCATTTTCTTCTCCCCCTGAGGTGGTCGTTCTGGAGAGGTTTGACTGTACTATCAATTCAACTTACCTCATTTCTCAATGTTTCAACAGCAAGTTTTCGTAAACTGGAATGGTCATGCCCTGTATCTCCTAGCCGTGTGAGTTGATCAGCGACAGCGTGGAACAAGTAGTTACCGTCCCCTGGGATTTCACCTCTCATTTTAAGACCAGAACGTTTTATATTTTCATCCAGCTGACGCTTGTGTTCCTCCAATGATTTATTTTCCCCTTTGGATGGTCCAAGAAACTTGTTTAGTACACTCATATAATCTTAAATACAAAACATCAATATGTTTCCGTCAGCTACATGTTTTACAATGACGCGTTTAACTAAGGAGTTCAAAGTCACTTCCAGCAAACAAGTCGTTTCAAAAGCATGATATCTGAAATACAAGTCACTTGAACCTCCCATGATAAAAGACCAATCCAAATTGTCGCTTACGAGAGTTGGTCCGCACTTGCAAGGGCCGAGGGGTTAGGTTCTCAGCGCATAGTCTTCCACACAACCGAGACACACTGATTTTAGTAAGCTGAAACTTTCCCTTGCATGTAAAACTTTCCACACAATGATTCAACCAGTTTAACCTAAAATAGTGACGTTTTACACCCTTGTGAAACCAGGGGCCACCTTGATAAAACTTTTACAATTGTAAAGTGTGGCCATAGTCTCATGAAGATGACTAACACGCTGAATGAAAGTAAAATCAAGCAATATAAGATATCATGGAAAAAAGGGATATCTCTTATCAATGGAACCGTGCCAACTCTTCAAAAGTCACAAAAACTTAACTTTCATTACACGATCAAAAAGAATTCTACGCGATGTACTGTGTTATCTGCAGCCCTAATCCGTATCATCGAGTAGAGACAAAAATTAACGTCTTTTCGTGGGGCGGATCTAGGGGGAGGGTGCAGGTTTTCTAATACAACTGGTATTCTGCAAAAAAAAAACTATGCGGTTTATTGGTGTTGAAGTAGAGCAAGAGACGAAGTGCACCCCCTCCTAAAAAAATCCTGGATTCGCCCCTGTTTTCCATTCACATTTTACAGTAAGGTTGACACATGATGACACGATGAACTTGTTTGGGAGAGAGCAACTTTACATTATTCTTACAAAATGGTTTGTTACGTAGTCGGTTTAGCCTAGTCTGTGCAGGTGATGCAGGTTTTCTTGCATCTTTCCCCCAAGAAAATGCGGATACGTCTGAACAGAGAGCAACAGATCGCTCGCTTTTACTGTGAGAGTCTTCCGTGCTCTTCTGGAAATATGCCTGCGCATAAGCTTCTCTGAAACGCATGTCTGGTTTGCCACTTTTTGTCAGTGTTCGTAGGTCTGAAAAAAGAGAAAAAAGTTAAAAGCATTGTAAACAACTCTAATAATAACCACTTTTGAGCTTCAAGTTTTTAATAAGTCTATATGTCACTTCAGTGTACTTGTGATGTACAGTCGACTCCCGATAACTCGAACCTTCAAGGGAAGTCGAAACTGAAAAGTTCGAGTTATGGGGAGTTCGAGTTATCGTTAGCGCAAAGAGTAGCCGGGGGTACTGCACAGTGAACATTTTAATCGCATTTAATTGTAAAAATGTTAAGTGAAAATGAAAAGTATTTCTAGAATATAAATCAGAACGCAACGTAACAAAACATTTCCTAAATGGAGCATGCGTTTTACTGTTTTGAGAAGTAAAGCTATTTCACGCTAGATTTGTGACAAACAACACCAGCCTCCACTAATAAACTATGCTCCTACAACACATCAATGGGAAATTCAGAATTCAATTTTTCGGACGTCATGAGTACTTCTTTTGAAAGGGTTCAAAAGATGGTTCGAGTTATAGACGGTAAAATTATATAGAAATTATCTGAGGGAAAACAAAAATTTCTTCGAGTGAGCGGGAGGTTCGAGTTACCGAGAGTAAAATTACTACAGTAAATGTATGACGGAAATCCCGGGGAAATCGATTTTGGTTCGAGTTTTCGTGACGTTCGAGTTTGCGAGCTATCGGAAGTCAACTGTATAAAAGGGGATTCCCTGCTAGCAGAGGTCTCTCACGAAGAGGCAAAAATGAGAGAAAGGGGAGAGACCTCCCCTTTCTCTCATTTTTGCCTCGTCGTGAGAGACCTCTGCTAGCAGGGAAAAAAGGGGAAAGTCCTTCGAGTAAATTTCCAGAGTGCAAGCAGACGATAAACGAGGCCTGAGTTTTTTAGAAATTCCTTGTTTATATGTTTAAGATTTCTTTATTTGCCTGTGGAAATAATTTCATCGTGGTCACGAACTGTTAAGTGATAAATACCTAGACAAGATATTTTTATGTGTCTGGCTGCTCTGCTACAGTGTGCATGTCAACAATTTTTGCCGATCTGTACGCGACCCGAAATGATCCCCGACCCCAAATGATCTCCAAAATCGACCTAAATACGACCCCAAATGATCCCCAAATTTTTTCACACGCGACCTGAAATGATCCCCGAGGAATTATAGGAGTGGAATGGGAAAACATTTCTATCTCAGGGATAAGATTAAAGCGTTTTAATTCCGTTTTTCGGTTAATGCGAAATTCGAAGTTTTTCGGCTATACACGCGAAATCTTTTCAAAATGGCTAATCGATTGCACAAAGTTATTTTCAGTTATATTAATTGCCTGGAATTTACTTTTTCCGTAATAATGTGGAGGCCGTTATAACAGACAGACGGAACTGTAGTGCCAAAATGCTTCCAGTTTGGGAGAGAATGGGTTAAGAATTATTAGTCCAGCTGATGCATCTAACAAAGACGGGCAAAATCTTAAGAGAGTGGCGCTTCTTGGGCACGAATCAGAGGCTCATTATCACAGCTTAGACTATGTGGATAATCCATCGTTCAATGAGGAAGAGAATATTTTCCAGTACATGAAAGCTAATGGGGAAGGAAAAACAACAGAAGAAACTTGCCCTAAGTGCCTATCGGCAGGAGTTTATGCGAGTGAAAGCGGCCTCATGCAGTGCTACGACGAGGACTGTGATATGTGTGATGAATGCGCTAAAGATGAAGAGTGGTATAGGTGCTAAAAGTAGTTATTGACAGTCGGGTGTAGCTTCCATGTAGAAATAGCAGGGACGTCAAACATGTGCATAGAAAGCCATAAAAGATAGAATAAGCAATGCTTTTATTTTTTGTACTTTTTTTTCCACTTCCTCACGTTCGCGAGCGGGAATACACAATGAGTAAATTTTCATAATAAAAGGCTGAAACTCAAACGAGCACTGTGCAACTGGCGAAAGCATTTACCGTATACAACATACATCTAGATTTATAATCAATGACATATTGAAAGCTACACACTTGGCTCTAACTACCACCAATTGTTATTGTTATTACAGTTTTGTTCTTTCTACTGAATTATTTTATAAAGTTCAGGTTATAAAGTTCCTGCATGTTAACCGACAGGTTAAGGTTTTCTATCGCCTTGCTGTTGTATTCAGTTGTTCTTGTTTATCATTAATTTCACGGTTGTTTATGTTCACTTTTAATTTTTCCCTTACAGAGGCAGAAAGTTTCATATTACATATTGTTACAGTTCAGGGGCACCCAACGGGAATATAGTTCAAAACCACTTAAACATAGCATTTTTTAAACGTATTTTAGTATTTAAACGGTAGATAAAGGCATATTTTTATCCCCTAAAAATTTTTCATCTGTTCTGATTTCCTGGCTGAAAGTCTAGTGATCCGAAAATTATAGGGATCAAAACTTACCTTTTCGAAAATTTCAGCCAGAAAATAGGTTCCCGAAAATTCTAGGTGACCTTTTTAGGGTAAAAATCCGTTAAAAATAGACAATTATACCATTTTTTAGATGTTCGAAAATCCTAGGAGAGGCAGGCAAGCAAGAAGTTTTACAACAAATGTTCGAAAATTCTAGATCTCAAATCGTCTTCCGAACAGATATTTTTCCGAAAATTGCCGTTGGGTGCCCTGACAGTTCAGAAATTCTATAATTGAATAAAACGTATGTTAATGAGTACCGACAAGAAGCGAAGACTGTTACTTGTTACAGTAAGGCCCGGTATAAACATCGCATTTCACCTGTGCCAAATTTAATTCAGGTATTAAATGCGTAGTAAGTTCGGCGTTTAACTAAAATTAAACTCGACAACGCGACTTCTGTCGCATCTTCGACTGAGCCAATCAAATCTCGACAGAAGTTCAACCGTTGTCTTTTGTGCCGAATCGAATTTTTAAATCATGTTTAATTTATTATAATCCACAATTCTCAATTTTTTTTCCAACTCTATAAAAACTCGCTCATGATTCGACGTCTAAACTGGTTGACTTACTTATTTAAGTAGAACCAAATAGGTATCAGACTCGGCACATGTGAAATTTGACGTTTAAACCCAGTCTAAAGAGATGCTATTTGCACGATTAAACCTCCAATTTAAACTTTTTTTTAAAGTTTCTTGCAAAATTCGTTAAAAAGGAGTTATAATTATTTAATAAATTGTCCAAAATATATAAATCAATCAACACTTCAAACAATTCGAGTCAAAATTCTTTGATTTACTTTTATATTCTAGTAATTCTAGCATCTTCGGGAATTAAACGTCATCCCATTCCATTCCGATAATTCCTCGGGGATCATTTCGGGTCGCGTGTGAAAAAATTTGGGGATCATTTGCCGTCGTGTTTAGGTCGATTTTGGGGATCCTTTGGGGTGGGGGATCATTTGGGGTCGGAGATCCTTTCGGGTTGCGTACATTACCCCTCCAATGCAAGTATTTCCAAGGAAATTCCTTATTGCACCTCGCTTCGACAGAGTCTTGCTATGGAGACCATTACAGTGCGACTACAAGAACCGGGGCACTTGGAAGAAGATTATGAAATCACAACGTTTTTTGAAAACAAAGGATTCTCAAGTTTTTTTGTAAACGGACCTATAAAATTCAAAGTTTAACTTTGCAACTGTTGAAAACTTAAAAATCGTTTGAATTACCTTGCCAAAACTTACCAGTTGAAGGAGTTTTTCCGAGCCCAAGAGCACCTATGATGGGGTCGTGGTCCAATACATCTTTCCCCTTCTCACTTCCCTCCTGTTTCACATACTCATGATCAAACTCTGTAAAGGACTCCACTCTCGACAACTTCATGTCTACAAAAGGGCGACCCACAGAAGGCGAAATGGTTGTAATGGCAAAATTATCCTTGTGGGCGATGTAGGGACGTCCTTGTCCCTTACGTTCATTCGCGAGTTTACCTCGAGGGCTCAACTCATACAATGGAAAGTACACGTTCGGTTCTTCTAAGCCATTCTCTTCTAAAGTGTTTAAGTTGAAGTCTCCTCCTATAATAACTGAGGATACATTCTTCTCACGACATATCTCTTGCAAAAAGAGAATGAGAGCTTTCAAAACTTCACGTTTCTTCTCCAGTCTCATTTTTGAAGGCCCGTGCCACGAGACTGCTAAAAAACTACAAGCTTCACTTTTACTTGTTAACTTAACAACTGCAGTTCGCGCTGGTATCTCACTCACGTGGCTAAATAAGTTCTTTGATGCAACCACTGTGTCAAGGATTCTTGTTTTAAATGCGACATCCACAGGCTCGCCATAAAAATGTGCTTCACTCCACATAACAGCCGCTTCTTTCCCCGTGCGGACAATTTCATAGACACAAGTACCACATTTTCTGACCACCTCTTTTCTGAAACAATCTGGAAGTTCCTGACAGAATACCAAAGACGACCCACTACTTGTTATTATTTTCGACAAAAGCGCCCTTCTTTCATCTGGTTTTGTCTTCCCGTTCATATTGACGGTCATGAGCGAATGAAACGAATAGCTAGACATGGCCTGAATAAAAAGTGTCACTTTTGAAAAATCACTTTCAAGAATACGCTTCGCCGGCAAGAGTGCAAAGAGTTTCTGTTATCTATTTTGGAGTCGGTCGTCATGGTATACTGACACTAATAATACTGTCTGCCAGCGCCAGGTGTTCTTCTCGAAGAAAAATACTGATTATAAAGGATGAAGGGGATAACCATTTAGATATACTTCCTACTGGCTATGATATGTTATGTCAAGCTTTATTGGGCAAGATCAAATCGAAAAAATAAAATAGAAAAAAAAACATAAAAAATGGAAAATATACAAACATAGAGAATTAAAACCCAAAAGGGATGGGCGCAAACGGGACACTAAGACCCATGCAGGGTGCCTACCCTAGGAAACTATAAGGATTTAAAATATATACAAAAAGTAAAATCTAGTTGTAGTAAGAGGAAAGTCTAGTCGTAGAAAAATCTAATTGTACAAAATTGTCGTCTAACTGTAGAGAAATCTAAAAGTATTAAAAAAAAATAAGAAGACGTATGTTAATCCTTCCACGGTTTTTTCAGCTTTTTACATGGACCAGTTAGGAAAAATCCGTCGACAGCACTGAAAAAGGCGCCTTAAAATTAGTAAAATTGCCAAGTTTGAAAGTGATACGTATTAAGCGAGCGAAAATATTGTTCCACAAAGTTGCGAAAATTTCCAGACGTTTGTATTCTATTTTGTGGTTCAATCTTAACCTTAGTTTAGATTTTTATAATTTTTCTTTTGTTTCAAATTTATTATCATGTCGTCATCATGAAACATACATTACCATACTGTAAAAATTCCGAAAATAAGCCCCGGGGCTTATATTTTTCAAAGGGCCTTTTTGATGGGTCTGTGGGGCTTATCTACCGAGGGAAATTTGCGTTTCAAAATCGATTAGGCTAGCCTTATATTTGGCAGTAAATTTACCATTTTTGCTTTGTCTTACTTTGTATTTGAGGACAATTTTCCAAGAAAAAGCCCTTGGGGGGCATATATTTGGAGGGGCTTAACAAAACAAAAGAAAACAAAATTTAAACCAAGGATAAAATTAAACCACAACATATACAAACGTCCGTAAAAATTTCACGACTTTGTCAGTTTTCAAGACAAATTGATATCACTTTCAAACTTGGCAATTTTACTAATTTTAAGGCGCTCCGTTCTAGTGGTGTCGACGAATTTACTCTAATTGGTCCATGTAAAAAGTTGAAAAAAAAAAAAAAAACCGTGGAAGGGTCTATTCATCCCAGCAAAGTGTTTTCAATCGAGAAGTTCTTCAAGGCGGAAATAAAACTGTATTGGCTAGTGATATTTCGTTCGACCAATTACTGTCATTCGTCGGTTTAAAGTTTACTTTTCCTTTGTTTCAAACTCAAAGTAACAGAGAGAGCTGTTTTTCGGACAGAAAGATCGACAGACAGCCTTTATTTTAGCACAATGATATTAAAAGCAATGCAGCTTATGGGATCGTGCATAAAAACTAAACCTAAGAACGAAATATATACGGCATAATAAAATAATACAAAATCGGACTATCTAAAAGCTAACCGTTAAAAACTCTGACTAAACTATAGATGTACATCATTAAAAACTGTAAAAACCCCTAAATATAATTAAAATCTTTACGTCTAAAATTTGTAGTTGCTGTAGAAGTCTCTTTAAAAGTCAACTCTCTAAAAATGTCCATTGAACGGGCTTTCCTCTTCAGGTCTTTATAACTTATGTTTGAAAAATTACATAAACACTTGGAAAACCATAACTCATATCCAGTATTCCAGTCAGCATATAGAAGGAAGCATAGCACTGAAACAGCGCTCTTGAGAGTTGTCGACGATATCTTACACAACATGAATCGAGAGCATGTTACAATATTAGTCCTTTTGAATTTGAGTTCAGCTTTTGACACCGTGGACCACAATATCATGATTCGTCCACTTGAGATGTCCTTTGGAATCACAGGCACAGCACTGCAGTGGCTGAGGTCATATTTGTCTGGCCACTCACAACATGTCATCGTGAATGGAGAACAGTCGGAGAGCTTGGATCTGCCTTTTGGCGTACCACAAGGTTCTTGTTTAGGGCCTTTACTTTTTACTTTGAATTCTAGTAAGTTCTTCCATGTAACAAAAACCTCATTTACCTGTAGCGTAAGCATACGCTGACGATTCTCAACTCTATCTATCGCTCAAGCCTAATAATGAAGTGAATGAATCGAAAGCCATTGAGTCAATGGAGCTTTGTATCAGAGGGATTAGAACATGGGTGTGGATGGACAAACTTAAACTTAAACTTAATGATGATAAGACAGAACTCATGATCATTGGAAGTAGACACCAACTTGAAAAGGTTAGTGTTGCAGAATTGTCTGTTGGTGACACCAGCGTTGCTTCTGCTAGTACTACAAGGCTCTTGGTTTGATCCAAACGGACGCTTGATACTCAAATTACAAAACCTTGTTGTACAGGTTACTACTATCTGCACATTATCAGAAAGATCAGGAAATACTTAACGTTGGATTCAACCACATGTTTGCTTCATACACTGGTTATAGGGCGCGTAGACTAATAGTTTACTCTATAGTCTTCCAAGAGATACTAATATCAACAAGCTACAGCGTCTTCAGAATATGGCTGCCAGGTTAATTAATAACAAATACTCCGCGGTTTTGTCAGATCACACCTGTACTGTGTCGAAGACACTGGTTACCAATAAGTTTCAGCATTGAATTCAAGGTGATACTCAGTTATAACATTTAAGGCAATACATGGAATGATTCCATATTATAAAAAATAATAATAATAAAAGTCAAGAAGAAGTCCTCCTACAACCTTAGGTCAAATGATGAACTGTGACTGGCTCCACCGAAGTTCAACTCTAAAAAGACCTTAGGCGACAGGGCTTTCCAAGTGGCTGCGACAACTCTATGGAACAAACTTCCAAGTGCGTTAAGGATGGAAACAAGCTTGACGCCTTTCAAAGCTAAACTAAAAACTTTACTTTATGACTTACGCCTTGTACTTATGACTTGACTTACGCTTTTTAACGCAAACTTTCACAAACGTTTTAACTCAAACTCGTTTGACTAAAGGCGTGCTCTGACAACAACGTTGTTATTGTTTTGAAAACAATTTCGTTATTCATTCTACACTTCTGCGTCACATTCTACGCGCGTAGTTTGAGAAGTAACAGATTGAAACAATTTTTCCTGAATTAATTATTAACAAATACTCCGCGGTTTTGTCCTGATGAAGGCAGCAGTTGGGGTCCATTCATATACAATTTAGAGAATGTTATGTTTTTTCTACATTTTTTTTTCGCCACAGTTTTGAGCGCAAATTTCTTTACTACTTCTCAAACTCATCAATCATTCATTTGGTCAAAAGCCAATAAATGACGACCATTTGGGTCAGGTGATGAATCTTGATACCTAATGAAACACCAGATTCACCATTTTCACATAGACCATAATATACCTTGTTTACTCCCCAAAATTTTACATAACCATTGTTTCCAATTTCTCCTGGGTATTACAGTCTTGAGTCGTCCCAAGAGAAATCGAAGATCATACAATGGTTATGCAAAATTTTGAGGGTTAAACAAGGTGCATTATGGTCTACGTGAAAATGGTGAATAAAACACCAGCAGGTTTTCAACTGAGATGAAACACTTGCTGCATTTTAATGAGATGCTTTATTGATTAACACAACCGATGGAAACAATGCAATACCAGAGAAAACATGCAACTGGAATTTCTTCTCGTTTCGTTTGAGAAGACTTGTTAAAAACTCGGACTTCGTGCTTCATCACGGCTTCCAAACACCTCGACACAGATGAAAGCACTAAACCTACAGACTCGTGCTTTTATTCTTTATCTCGGTGTTGAAAGCGTGATGATGAACAAGTACAATTCCGGGTGCTAGATACGTTTTGTTTTGATTATGAACTACAGTATTTTCCTGCGAAGCTCCTTGAAATCTCATGGAGCACAGAGACACAACTAGTTTTAGATTAAGCCGGGTACAGTAGTACCGGTTAAGTTCTTGCCTACAAGCAAACACGTAGTAGATTACCTAAGCTGAAGAAAGCCTATGAAAGCCAAAACTTACAAGTTGAAGGAGTTTTTCCGAGATGAAGAACACCTATGATGGGGTCGTGGTCCAATATGTCTTTTCCTCTCTCACTTCCCTCCTCTTTCACATAGTTAAACTCTGAAAGGGGCTTCACTTTCGACAATTTCATGTCTACAAAAGGGCGACCCACAGAAGGCGAAATGGTTGTAATGGCAAAATTATCCTTGTGGGCGATGTAGGGACGTCCTTGTCCCTTACGTTTTTTCGCGAGTTTACCTCGAGGGCTCAACTCATACCATGGAAAGTACACCTTTAATTCTTCTAAGCCATTCTCGTCTGAAGTGCTTAAGTTGAAGTCTCCTCCTATTATCATTGAGGATACGTTCGTCTTAAGACATATCTCAGACAAAAAAAGAATGAGAGCTTTCAAAACTTCACGTTTCTTCTCCAGTCTCATTTTTGAAGGCCCGTGCCACGAGACTGCTAAAAAACTACAAGCTTCACTTTGACTTGTTACCTTAACAACTGCAGTTCGTGCAGTTATCTCACTCACGTGGCTAAAAAAGTTCTTTGATGCAACCACTGTGTCAAGGATTCTTGTTTTAAACGCGACATCCACAGGCTCGCCATAAAAATTTGCTTCACTCCACACAACAGCCGCTTCTTTCCCCGTGCGGACAAAATCATAGACACACGTATCACATTTTCTAACCACGTCTTTTTCGAAACAATCTGGAAGTTCTTGACAGAATACCAAAGACGACCTTCTACTTGTTATTATTTTCGACAAAAGCGCCCTTCTTTCATCTGGTTTTGTCTTCCCGTTCATATTTACAGACATGAGCGAATAAGACGAATAGCTAGACATGGCCTGTAAACGTGTCACTTTTGAAAAATCACTTTCATGAATCCGCTTCGCCTGCAAGAGGACAAAGAGTTTCTGTAATCTACTTTGGAGTCGGTCGTCATGTTATACTGACACACTAAAATTTTCTGCCAGCGCTAGATGTTTCTTATCGAAGAGAATACTAATTATGAAGGATGTAGGGAAGTAACCACTTAGAGATACTTCCTACTAACTATGATGTGTTAATAGACTCTTCCACGGTTTTCAGCTTTTGACATGGACCAGTTAGGAAAAATCTGTCGACACCATTGCAAAGAGCGCCTTCAATTAGTAGACTTACCCAATTTGTATTTTTCATGTCGACATATAAACTATCCGGTATAGTGCAAACACATCCTTATAGGATACAGTCGAACATCCTATAGTATGGGAATTTAATTTACCTACTTTTTTCATATCCTTGAATGACCCTTATAACATCATATGTTAACATGCTAAAACAGAAAATACCACCGTTACAGACTGGGAACTGTACTGTCGCAATTTGTAATAATCATCGCACTTTGTAATACCTGTCGCAATTTGTAATAAATCCATCGCACTTTGTAATACCTGTCGCAATTTGTAATAAACCGTGTCGCACTTTGTAATAAAAAAGCTGTCGCTATTTGTAACAACTCTCCATCGCACTTTGTAATAAACTAAGCTGTCGCAATTTGTAATAATTCCATCGCACTTTGTAATGATTTTTTGAGAGTGATTCAACTTACTTGGTCAACATTAATATAATGCCCAAATATGCATGGTACTTCATAAACAAAGATGATGTTGTCTGCTAGCACGTAACATCTCCGTAACATTTTCTTTGGTCAAACATGCATGTCTTCCGCTATAACTTTTTCTGCCTTGATTAAACACGTGACTAACTAAAAACACTTTTATGAAAGACATGAAACTTCCGGGGGGGATAATCTCAGATATGGATGGGATAGATAGGTAAGTAACGCCTGATAGGGTATGGTTTTTGAGGATCTCGATCCCTTAATAGGGTATCATTTTTTTACGTTGTTGGCCTTGTGTCATTGGTTTGATCCTTAGATAGGGTAACTCAAGTAGTAATGGATGGTATATTTCATCCTTTCCATTTTGTAGAAAAACAGTAATCCAGAACACGCTCGGAAGAATTGCAAGGTCTTACGAGTTGTATATACGCAGGAAAGGATAATTTTTTACTATTCCCATGGTATTTGCTTTAGAGGACTCCTTACAGAAAACAATTGTTTTAAGATGGAATGAGAACTCCTTTTGTTCCTATATGGGACCTAATCAAATAAGAATAATGGGCCAAATGCCCAGCCGGCTCAGTGTAAGACCCCAAGTGAGTGTTATAAAAACTTGTACATACGAAGGTATTGGCCAGCGACTAATTGGATTTTGTGTTTAGGTTTCTGTTGTGGTTCGACGGTTTGCCACTGGTGAAGTTTTTTTTATTTGCAGTAGACATTTTGAATCTGTCCAGGCCTCGTTTGATTAAGTTAGCCAAAATATGGAAGCCACTATTACTTCTTTAAGATTGCTCGTTAGACAAGAACGGTGTACCACGTGTTGTGTCAACCTCTTATAAGACCTAACAAGGAAAGCTTGAGCTCTCCTGGTGTCCTTATTCGAATGATGTAGGATGGATGTTACGATTAGCGGAAATTAAATGCTTTTTAATAATGGCTTGTTTGTGTCTAGTGTGTCTAGCTCTGTCTAGATCCTGTACTCTGGCAATGCTCTGTCCAGAGGCACATCCCCGTATTGGCCATATAAGGAAGTACACCCGCCGGGTAACCATTGAATGCAAACCACCTGGTACAATAGCAAGGTTCAAGAATACAGCATTTCGTAAGTCAGATAACTAATCAACATTAATCTAAAAAAATGTTTAGGACTGTGAATAAAGTTAAATGTTCGAACTAGCGGAGATGTTACGTGCCAGCAGACGTCATCTCCATCTTTGTTTGTGAAGTACCTTGCATATTTTGGCGTTATATTAATGTTGACGAAGTAAGTTTAATTACTCTTAAAAAGTTATTACAAAGTGCGATGGAATTATTACAAATTGCGACAGCTTAGTTTATTACAAAGTGCGATGGACAGTTGTTACAAATTGCGACAGCTTTTTTATTACAAAGTGCGATGGATTTATTACAAATTGCGACAGGTATTACAAAGTGCGATGGATTTATTACAAATTGCGACAGGTATTACAAAGTGCGATGATTATTACAAATTGCGACAGTACAGAACTCTTAGTGAAATATCTTATGAAGCAGAGACTATCACCAAGTCTAGCCTATGAACACTCTCTGGAGAACATTAACTAAGTTTGATGGCAGTTTCATCTCTCTCCAGCTGAATCTGCAAATAAACTGAATCTGAATCTCACGCGAGTAGGTTGTAGTTGGTTTGCAGACAGCACAATCTGTCGAGCCCTGGATATACTGATTAATTCCTGATCTATTAAACATTTGTCCATCTAGTCAGACTAGATCTCTTGAGAATTTTAACGGTGTGAGCAGTGCCAGGAAGAGGCGTCAAGAAAAGAAGTTGGGGTGGGAAACGATGGTGTTGCTTTGCGACATCTTCTAGAGACAAAAGTGAAGACAACTACCTGAAGCTACGTACCTCATAAACTGATGAGCGGGAAATCTGCAGGGCGTTTACAATAGCGAGTCGAAGACGAAACATGGCAGATCAGATTTATAGCACTTGTAAAATAAAACAATCAGTAGAGGTCTGTATTAGTTGAGTAGGAGTTTGTATCCGAAAAATACTGTTTGATATCTCGTGCGATCATCAGTCCAGTAGATGAAATGTGTTGGGGTTTACAGTCTTTCTGTAGGCTTAGTGTATAATTTTTGTCACCGATGACGGAAAGCAGATTTCCTTGAGTACACTTTTAACAGCCTGTGACTGTAAATATCGAGAATCGCTGGCCATGCTCAAAAAATTCTGATAATTTGTCAGGAAAACTCTTGTTCAAAAAGAATATTTCAAAGTTTGAAAAATCAAATATTTCCAAGAAAATGGGGAAAAACGAAACTAATTAATTATGCAAAAAAACTGCAAAATTGACCAACCTTAATGTGTTACTACTGCAGAAGGATGTTCCGTCGGAAATCGGAGATATTTTTAGTTCAAAATATAATTCATTGGATTTTTATTCATGACCTTTTCAGAAATAGAATTTTAAAATTTACGCGATGTTTTAACAAAGTGCTGTCAAAACGCTGTCAAAAAGCGAAAAATGGAGCAACTTTAAGCCTTCAAAACTGAGACGAGTCCAATTCGGCTTGTAATCATACGCCGAGTGATTAACAAATCGGACGACCGCGTCTCCAGCGGGAGTCCGATTTGTTTAATCACCAGTATGATTACAGACCGAATTGGACGACAAGAAGTCCTATAACTAATTAATCGTAACCGTTACAATTTCCAAGAAAATAGATACATTCATTTTTGGTGAAAGAGCTTTTAATACCAAATGTCCAAAATTTGGGAAAATATCACCAGCGAAGACACTGTCTAATGTTACAAATTCGCCCATTTCGGAAAATCCCCAGTTTAGTAAGGTAAGTGGTTGTTGCGAATTCACTCGTATGATTTTAGATTCCTTTTCCATTTCGATATCCACGTAAAACTACAGTGCTAAAGCGAGCTGGGTGTAGCAGGTGTAGCGGCGGGAAGCAGTTGAAGCGGCGAAACAAGTGGGCTTTTTTCTCAGTGCGGCAGGTGGGAAAGAAGATCCTATCGTATTGGCCAGTCAGAAAAGCCTCGAAGTTTTAAAACCCTAAAAGATGCTACCCGTCCTTACAAATGTCATTATTTTGCAAACAAGAAAGCTTGGATGAATTCAGAACTATGATAAACATCTTGGAGTCTTTAAATCGTCGTTTACAGCTGAAGCAACGGAAGATTATACTTTTCATCGACGACGCCCCATGCCACCCAGCTAGTGTACAAGATGAACTTTCCAACATAAACATAGTGTTTTTACCAAAAAACACAACACCGAAGACACAGCCATTGGATAGTGGCATAATCGCTAGTTGGAAGTGCAGTTACAAGAAAATAAGGTTGTTGCGTCATGTTTGTAGTAAAGTGTATGGATCAAACAGTGCGAGCGACAATGTGAAATCTGTCGACTTGTTGATGTCTATCGAGTGGGGGAGGCTGGCGTAGGATGATGTCTCAAAAGAAACAATTGTCAAATGTTTCAAAAGAATTGGGTTGTACCCTAATAAAGTTGACGAGGAGGACGGTTCTTTTGAGGGAGAAGAACTTTCAGGATTACAGGAACTTGTTACGGCAGTGGAAGTATCCTGTATTGCAGAAGAGTTCTACTTAGCGGCTGAAGACGAAATTCAAATATGCTCTGGTTTCTTTGACCCAGCAGATCCAAAATGGAGAGAAAAGGCAAGAGAAGAAATTTTGAAGAATCATGAGAGCATTTCTACGGAATCAACACCAGCACTGAATGTAATTGCACGTGGAAGACTCGGACGAAGAGGAGGATCAAACCACAAAGGAACCAGCCATTAAATCGGAAAACGAGGCGTTACGATTGTCTGAAATGCAACTGGAATATTCCCGATATCATGGACAAGAGGACCTTACGTTGGCCATTAGCAAGGCAACCAACTTGCTCCAGAAAATGAAGTTTTAATAAGAAGCTCAAACAAAAGTCGAACAATCACGGATTGATGACTTTTCTCGTTAAAGATAATGCTTAATGTTAATTGTATCAGTGCATTTGAATGGCATTTGACACCTCATGATACTTTATCTATCGAAAACTGTATTAGGCGGACACCCTGTATTAAGCGGACACTAGAGCATTCCCCGAGGGTGTCCGCCTAATACAGGTTTCACTGTATGAGTAAACAAAATCACGCAACACCGCGAACTGTTCGTTTGTTTCTTATGATGGCTGGTAGTTTCTGCAATGT